GGGCTCCCTGAAGCGCCGTGATCTGCTGGCTTTGCAAGGATTGCTCAGCGGGCCAGCAGTGGCGGTAGTCCCCCCGTCCCCCCAACAGGCTTAGTTTAAATCCCGGTGGAGCAGGTCAGCCAGTCTGGCTGAGAATAGCCAGATTTGCTCTGAATTTCAGTCTGTGCAGGTTAATCTAACCTGGCTAGGCTTAACTGGTTTGTAACTGCACAGACATCCCCTCTGGACTAAAAAGTCAGTCAAATGCCTGCAGTGGCTCAGGCTGGAAGCTAAGGGGTGCTAAAGCAGCCCTCCCTTCCCTTCTACAGGGCTGAGCTGAGGGGGGCATGGCCAGCCCAGCAGGATGCTCTGATGTTCCCCCTACCTCCCCCACCCTATGCACCCCAGCAGAGAATGTTTACCATGCCTAACTCAGTGTGTATCAACCCATTAAGAAAACAAAGCCTCTGTCCATTAATTCAAGCTCTTCTGAAACAGCTTTTCCAAGGAAGGACATTACCAGCTACCTGTTGATTAGCTCCAAAACGCCTGTCTGCCTTTGTCTCCCACAGCATTGACTGTAGCCAGCATGCAATCTGCTAGCTAATGCTGAGAGATGCAAGGCAGAGAGGAGGGGGAAATAATTCCTGCTTAGCAGGGAGAAGCCAGGTAGATGCCTGCAGTCTCTGCTGGAGCTCCAGCCAGGGAGCAGAGGGGAGGGGCCAGCCCTGCTGTGGAGCAGAGAGCCCTACTTAGCCCAGAGAACCAGGATGCTGGGGGTTTCTGGTTTATCTTAAGTCACCAAGGGGTCTGGGACAGACATGGCATAAACTGGTTTGAGCCAAATCAGTTAAGTTGGTACTACATTCAACCAGGTTTATCTCGAACTGGTTTATGTGCACTGAACATCTGTTCTGTTACAGGTTTAAACCTGTTTGTGTGTAATGTCTGTCCCTTGCCGAAATCAATTTAGTATCTGAACACTGGTTGTGACACAGGACATGAACTATTGAAAAATAGGCATCCTCTGAACACTTGTCTCTCCCACCTGCTAGATATATGCATTTATCACCAGGTTACTCACAGTTCTATGGTAATTCTACATTATTCAGTCTGCCTCTCAGTCATGTGGATAATAAATTCCATCCTGGAAATGAGAAAACTCTCTCAACAAAATTTTCATTCAATGATAATTTCCTGCAGGAAGTTTCAGTTTTGACACGTCATGATTTTCCAACAAAAACAATTTTATTGAAAAATTGCAGACCAATTCTAAGCAAAGCAGCAGTGATCAAAATAACCTTCTTGCACTTTGCTGATTAAACAACGGTATCTGTGACAGGGGGCCATCTCGGGGCCAATCTCCACGGCCCGCCCACCTGTCTCTGGGCAACCGCCCGCCTATCTCGCCCGCCAGGCCTTTGATGATAATAAGTTCAATTAAGATGTTAATTAAGCGGGAGGCTGCCCATTGTAATGCCCCAATGCCAGGGGGCACTCTGCGGCTCCAACCTCCCCTAATACTGCAGCCCAAGCCTCACAGGTGGCATCATGGTCTTCACATCGTCACCGGCCCCACACTGGGCCCCAGAATCATCCGTACAGGAACCCTCTATGATCCTCTCCTCTCAGGCGGCCAGTCTGCCATCATCCGGGCTACCTAGCCCCCCCAAAGCCATGTTCCCCTCTCGGGTGTGGTTCCCATGGAACCTTTGGCCTCTTGCCCTGGCCCACCTCCAGGCCAGTCGGGACCCCAGGCCCCCGGCTCTTGGGCGTCCCTCACAGTGGGCCCCCGGCCCTTCTGACTACCATAGTCCTGGCCCCAGCTTGGGCCAGTCGAGGGTACTCTCCCCTTCAGGCTGGGTCTCCA